ATGTTATGGAAAGAGGAGAAAGGGCGATTGGTTCTAACTAATTATGGAATTGTTGTGTTGATCTGCAGAATGTGTGTATAATTGGGTTGAACTAACAGTGGATAGGATTGAGGGAGGGTTCTTGAGTGGGGGAAACAATGGCTTCTTGGGAACTTCTTGGTGAAATGGCAAATGTTGCACAGCTAACTGGGATCGATGCAGCAAGGCTAATTGGGATGATAGTGAAGGCGGCAAGCACAGCCAAGATGCACAAGAAGAATTGCAGGCAGTTCGCGCAGCATCTGAAGTTGATTGGCAATTTGTTGGAACAGCTCAAGATATCAGACCTGAAGATGTATCCAGAAACCCGGGAGCCGCTGGAACAGTTTGAAGATGCATTGAGGAGGTCTTATGTGTTGGTTAATAGTTGTCAGGACCGAAGCTATCTTTATCTTCTGGCTATGGGGTGGAGCATTGTTTATCAGTTCAGGAAGGCTCAGAATGAGATTGACAGATATTTGAAGATCATTCCCCTCATCACTCTGGTGGACAATACTCGTGTCAGGGTACTGAAAATTTCCCCACACTTTCCATTTTACTGCATCATATTTCCATGTTAATTTCTTGAATCAATGTTAAAAATATGGCGATCCCAGATTGGTATCTGCACTAGCTAGTCTAGTTATTATGAGTAGAATGTGGTAAGGAATGCATAATCCAAGCTGGTAAAATGGCAGGAGTTTAAACGTAGTGAAAGAAAAGTGAAATGGCTGCTTTCTTTACTTAAATGTGTTGCTGTTTTTCCATATATTCTCAGGAGAGGTTGGAAATTATTGAAATGGACCAGCGTGAATACACGCTGGATGATGAAGACAGGAAGGTGCAAGAAGTCATTCTGAAGCCAGATCCCTCCTTAGATGATGCGGTTGTGTTGAAGAAAACCCTTTCTTGTTCCTACCCGAGCATGCCCATCAACGAGGCACTTCGAAAAGAAAATGAAAAGCTTCACCTAGAGCTGCAACTTTCGCAAGCGAATCTGGATGTGCATCAGTGTGAATTCATTCAGCATATTCTTGATGTCACTGAAGTCGTTGCATCTAGTTCTCTTTCAGAAACAAGTTCACCAGTCAAACCTCCTAATAAGGCGGAGCATGATAACTCTGCTGCTTATATTGATCAGGATCACTATAACCAAAACTATAAAAAGAGTAATGAGAAACGGTCAGTTTCAAGGTTGGTTTTCTTAATAAAAGAAATAGTCGTGTTGCATATGTTTCTGTTGTCTTGTCCATTTATTTTCTTGCGTGGATGGTTCAGACTTTTTCCAGATGATCTTGAAGTTCATTATGCCTCGTTGTATTGATAATTCAATACAACACAACATTTATCACACTTTTACTCTTCTTCTAGTTCCTTACCAAGTGTAGTTTCTATTATGCAGGAATAATTCTTCATTTTCATCCAGACATGATTTGCTCTCTTCCAAGGGTTCACATCGATACGAACAATGGCATTCTGATCTTCTGGGCTGTTGTTCAGAACCTCTCCTGTGTACGCCACACAGGACATCATTCTACTTTAACTAAGTTTATTATTCTTTTTCTTCCTCATTTTCATTCTGCTTTTACTTCCTCATTTCCGATATGCACAAAGATGGCTGACATTTTAGCTTTGAGATTAGCAAGATGCCGAAAGAAACTATGGATATTAAGTAGTTTATATTGGCACACTTTACTACTACCTTTCAGCAGAGTTTAAGATGATGATTCTGTAGGTCATCTTTCTGACAACAATGAGCATAGAAGAACATTTTTGGTGCAGGCATAAAAACCATGTTCTTTCCTTGTGGGACATTGTCGAGAATAGCGACTGTAGCGTACAACAGGCATATATGTGAGACTCTCTAAATTCAGTTCAAAGTTGTCTTATAACTACTCCATATACAGATCACGTGTAAGAAAAGATGGCACTTTGTTTTTTGTCTGGCATGCAGCTTCTGCAGAAGCCTTTAATGAAATAATGGCATACTCCTTAGTGTTGTCCTGCTGCTGTTACACTTGCTGCATCAGAAGAAAACTCCGGAAAAAGCTAAGCATCGTGGTATTACCTCGCACTCCTTGCCTATGTTTTAACTATTTATGCACACACACACACACACACACACACGTTTATATAAAGAAAACTTTTGAGTCATATTTCCAGAAGCAGATCACAGAACAACAAAACATCTTATTAATTGGTGGTGTATACTGCCTTTACTTTGGGTATGCAGGGAGGATTCATTGATGACTTCCTCTCCCACGCAATGTGCTGTTGCTGTGCCCTCGTCCAGGAATGGCGAGAAGTGGAGATTCGAGGAATTGATGGTAATGCCTTAAAGCCAAATTAAAGCTCAACCCTTTCATTTCTAGCTTCAAGCCTTCAACCGAGAACACGATAACTATGAACAAGATCATCTTTTTTCGAAGTGTTTAGGCTTAAATGTGTGGGCATGTTGCATTTTGAATAACTAATTGCATTAAGCTATTCAGCTTCGACGACTCTACTGTTACCATTACTACATACACATTCGTTATTCGTTAAGAATGCATACAGGGTTCATTGTGCAGGTACACAGAAGACGAAAACCAGCCCTCCACCCTCCCAATTCATGGACTCCTCTATGGTGTAATAGAAAGTATGGTAGATTTTTCTGATATTTTAGATGTATATATAGTTTAAAGCTACATACATTGGTGATATGGCTAGCCCACCAGGCGCTATTGTGAATAGTACTTCTTTTATGTCATGGATTAATCATCTTTATTTGTAAGGCAAACTAGCTTTTTGATAGCTTAGCTTGCTCAGATTCGGCTGTGTATATGTTTGAGTTTTCAGTCACTTCCTATATAATTGATTCATTTGATTGCTTGCTTGCCAGTGGCAATTGGTAATCCCTGCTTACCAATTTGACTTGTAAGTCAGTTGAGACACATTTGACAATTTACTCTAATCAATTTTTAGTATTAGAGTGATAAGAGCTCCTTAAATTTGAGTTTCAAACTTATATTTCTCTTTGGTGGAGTAATGGTATTCAACCCAATCCAAAATAATTATTACGGTATGATATGATATGGAGGATTAAGAACATGTTTGGTTGTTTAGTAAATCAGTTAATTTTTAGCAAATTTGACCATCTTTAACGGTTTGATTCCAAACCGCTGAAACCCCAAACGCTATAATTAGTAGCGTTTGGGATTTAGCGTTTTGGGAAAAGACCAAAACGCCCCTGAAAAAGTTAATATTTAATAAAGTGATAAGACATAAACGTGTTCCACAAAGTATCTTAGGATTTGTTGCTTTAACCACCCTTACATACCATGCAAAACAAGTGATCCAAAGGTAACAAAACTAATTAAATTAATTACTACCATCTTCTCTACACTATTCTTTATATATATCATGGCCCCATGCACAAAGTGTTTCTCTCCATCTATCTACAACTTCTCCACCAAATCAAATCATTAATACCATAATTAATGTAATAATAATAATAATAATAATAATAATGTTGTTGCTCAAGAAGCTAGTGCTCTCCATTTCCGCCCTCTTCAGCAAAACACACCGGCAGACGACAATCAACGATTACTCATCGTTCTGCTCTAAATCCGACGGTCGAGAGAGCACCACCGTTCACGGGGAGGGGTTATGCTGTGTTTGCTTGTCGAGGTTGAAGGAAGGGGGGAGCTTTCGTGTACTGCCTTGCATGCACAGGTTTCATAGGTCGTGCGTTGATAAGTGGCTGAGTGCTGGCCGGAAAACGTGCCCGGTTTGTCGGTTTCCGGTGGAAGACGGTGGGCCGCCGGAGAAGGGGAAAAGAGAAGTGACCACAGAGGAGATGGCTCTATGGTTTTCCTCCTTCCATATGTCTGGGCAAAGCTTCATGTAAAGCCAAAAAATATTCCGTTGCCGGGAATCGAACCCGGGTCTCCTGGGTGAAAGCCAGATATCCTAACCGCTGGACGACAACGGAATTGATGCTAGGTTATCAAGAAATACTTTGAAATCAGTAAAAGATTAAATTTCACTTTTTGTCCAATATCAAATTTGGTCCTTGACTATTAATATTTTCAAATTAGATATATGACCATATAATTTGTATCACATTTAGTTATTAATTATTAATATTTTAAAATTGAGTGCATAACTATATAATTTAATTTGGTCCTATCGTTCAGTTTTTTGGCCAACTATTGTCGAAACTTCAACAAAAAAAAAAAAAAAAGAGTTCAATTTTCAGCCAATTATTGTTGCAATAATTATTTTTCTTGTTGAAATTCCGGCAATAGTTGGTCTGAAAATTGGACGGTAGTACCAAATGTGATACAAATTACAAAGAAATGTACCTAATTTGAAAATATTAATAGTGAAGGATACAAATGTGATACAAATTACACAGTCATGCACCTAATTTGAAAATATTAAAAGTTAAAGACCAAATTTGATACATGAATAGTCAAGAGACCAAAAATGAAACTTTTTCTAAGTAAAATTATACTCAAGTTTTTCCCACTTTTAGTGACTATTTGACCATAGGGAAAATTAATTATTTATAGGCAAAATTGCACTTTTCATCCTTAAGTCATATAGAATAGTTGTATAATTCATCTTTAAGTGTTGGTCATAATCACTTTTCACCCTTAAGCTATCATTGGCGTTACACTTTTTATGTTCACTCGTCGTTCCTAAATTATACTAAAATAGCAAATTTCGTTAGTATGGTAAGGATTTAAATGTGCCCCTACAGTTAAAGTCTATTCAGAACATCTCATTGCTTGTAACCTGAAACGCCACCTTGGTAAATAGTCAAAATGATTAATTCTATTAACGCATGCAATTTTGTCTATTTGGAGCTGTTGTCGCATTAAAAAAACGTAATAAAATGCTTTTGCTATGCTTCAAAAAAAAAAAAAAAAAAATTCCAAGACTCATTTGTTAATAATTAATGTACACCGGCTGCCTTGGAATACAACATTTTTACAAATATATAGCAACAAATTTTATATATATAAAAAAATACCAATCCCTAAACGTTGTCGTTTTCATAGGGCAGGAAACCATGATTTTCTTCTCTTTTTTTTGGTTACCAAAAGTCTCTTACTTTATATTATAGAGAAAGATGAGTAAAACAGGATTGTTCTATCAAAATGGTCACAAATTAAGTTTCCTAATTATAATTACAATTATCACATTTCAAATTGATAAAATTTTAATTCCAACACTGATACTGATTTGCATGTCTTAAATTAAAAAAATAAACGCCGCCTCATAAGCTTGTGAAGCGGCCGCAAAGTTGTAGTGGTGGCGGGAAAGATGATGGAGTCAGAAGGGAGAGGACGACGTGCGGCGGAGAGGGCGGTGCTGGCGACGGTGATCGGCCGCAGCTACCGACAACTGCCCAGTTCAATGAAACAAAAACTTATTGTCATACAAATGCTGAATTAGCATCAAATAATAATGCCCAAAAGAACAAAAACATTCTACCTCGTGATGCTGTTTCTTGAGCCTCGCATTTTCTTTACTCAACTCGGCAACTTCCAGCTCCAACTCATGCGTGTATGCCTGCAATATAATCAACTACAAGGTTATAAGTTCGTTCGATTCCTATTAGAGTCGTCTATTTAGACTTCTTGATTTGAAATGGTAGACTACAATCAAGCTAAACTAATTTACCCAATTTAATATTTTGCTGGTTAGGGTTACAAGACGGAATTTACTATTCTCAGTAAGATTACAAGTTAATGTCACTGATACATATAGTTCAGAAGAATATGTGAGTGAGTCACACATCTTTTTCCTTATTACTCAAACTAGAATAACATTAGTTTGAGTATAATACGGTCTGGTAACTCGTGGTATAACAAAAAAAAATGTTATTAGTAGCATGAATTAATAATGGTGTGGGGGGCTTTCCTGTTTTCTAGCTCTTGATCGAGCAGCTGAGATCCGGTTCTTGATAAGCCGGCGGCGTTTCTGGTCGGGCGGCGGCGACCTCTTTCCCCCGTTGGCGGCAGGGGGGATATTGCAAGTCGGCAAGACATCATCAAAAACCGCATTCTGAAGTTCTTGCGTCAAGGGCTCCAAATTGTCATAGCAGGGGAGCTCGGATACCAAGTTGAGAGTGAGATTAATGGGCGGAGAGTGTTCCAAGGGCGGCGCCGCCATGAAACCTTTGACGCTTGTCGGGCCGCCATTCTGGAGAGAGGAGAGGTTCATGTCTTCCCGAATTGGATCCATATATGTTTTGGTAGCTACAAACAGTGGCTGGCACCACACATTCTCCATAGCTGCCATGTATATAATGGAAAGAGGGGCAACCTCAAACAAGTCGGTCTGATTATTAATTTAGTAATTATAATGTTTTAAGTTCGGTTTTTAGAGGGGGTAATCTATTGACATTTTTTATTTAAACTGGTTAGTTATGGACAACTAGGTTAATTTTTTCTTTGTGGGCTAAGGTCACAATGTAGGGTTTAACCCATGCAGTGCATATTCTCGAGTGGTAGTTGCCAGTTTTTCTCGTCACCAAATAAGTTAACTTTTTTTTTTTTTTTTTTTTTTTTTCTTATGATCATTTGTCAGCTAGGTTCACAAAGTGAAATTTACCAGTGCACACTCTCGAATAGTGATTGCAAGTTTTTCTATCACTAAAAAAAGAGTGACAATACGTCATCTTTTGATTAAGTTTATTTATCTTATTGTGATTTTTTTTTGACGAGACTCATAAGATTGAGTTTACATAGTAAACCACTGATAATGACAACGAGTTACCCTTATCGTTCCTATTAATCAACTTCTTATCCCTATTCCCATAAATTAATTCAAATTTTACCACAACATAATTTCACTCTTACTTGCTAAGCCTTGCGAAAAAAGTTCTTTAAAACTATATTTAGGCTATAATTTCGAGCTCGTATATATAACAGACTTATAGCTCCAACCCTAATTGAATCTAAAATCATTTTTGTATAATCTTAGACTCATATAATTTGATCCATTACTTTATATTAATGTGAAAGGGACACAAAATGAAATGTCGAGTGCATCGCTTTTCTTGTTGTGATCAAATATTCTGATTCCAATTCAATTTATGCAACTAGTAATTAATAAAGTGACGGGCAGTTCATCTAGAAAATAAAATGTTGATATCGACACACACTATGTGGATAATTGGCTCTATTTTCAATATATGTAAAAATGAAAATCATCTCAACTATTGGTCTAGTGGACAATACACGTGCTTAGTTCACTGATTCAGTAAACAGTAATTTGAGAGAAGAGACCAAGGTTTGAACCTCGACAACTGTAGCTATTGAGTTGCCGTGATTTATATCATCCCACGACGAACAATGGGGGTTAGTAATTAGTTTTTTTTTTTTTTTTTTTTTTTTTTTTTTTTTTTTTTTTGTAAATGTGTTTGTGCGCAGAAGTGCATAGTTTCTCTCATGAGATCCAATAACCAATTTGTATTAGAGCATCCTCAATAGTGTGAGGTCTGTCAGGTTTCATTCTCACGACAAACAATGGAGGTTAGCAATTAACTTTTCTACAAATGTGTACGACATTGTGTGTTTATGTGCGTGCACAGTTTTTCTCATATAACCCATAATTTGATCTAAAATTGTGTGTCAATAACCAATTTGTATTAGAGCATCCTCAATAGTGTGAGATCCGTCAAGCTTCATTTCTTTCTCTTGAGCTCACGGATGACGGAGATGATATGTGACAATAGAGACACAAATGGGATGTAAAAATGGGTACTTTATAAGAATGAAAGAGGGCCACAAATAGGATTCTTGAGTGCATTCGCTTTTAAAAAAATAATAAAATTAAAAAGTTCAGATATTCTGATTCCAATTTATGCAACTAGTAAACAGTGATGGGCAGGTGGACTGGACTTCACTGTATTTTTTCTTAGTCGAATCTTTCAGGCCCTCTTCAATCATCAAGAAAGATTGGGCATATATATACTCTCATTTTACTCTCTATTCATTTGTACATTGACCATGTAAATTATGTAACAAGAATAATATTTCGAAGTCACCTCTTCGACCATTTAAAAAAAAAATAATTTAAATGTTACCCTTCAATTGTGAACACATATACTCTCATTTTTACTCTATTCATTTATACTTTGACAGTATAAATCATACCACATGAATAATACAAGTATTCAATAGGGTCATACAGAGGCGGACCCACAGTGGGGGCAATGGGGTCAGCTGCCCCCACTCACCCTACCCCCACCTCTTATATAACCCTTGTATGTATATGTGTATATATAGTAGAAGTTTTAGTATAAGTATCAAAAAATAGAGAAATGATAACAAAATGTGACTTAGCCTAGTTGGCAGAGCGCATGGTTGGCTTAAAGGTAGGCCAGGGTTTGAATCTGTGGATGAGCGTGTGGTCTGTTTTCAATTTTTTTGACATTTTATTTCACATTTTCACCATTAACACTATCTTTTCACATTATTTCACATTTTCAATATTATTAATAGTGCATATTGCTTCAACACAATAATATAATCTTCATTGATATTAATAATGAGATGAGATGTGTAATTTATAATGGACCTTTTATTCAAATTATTTTATCAAATTGAGTATATTCATATTTTGTTACGAATATTTTTATAATGTTTTGATGTGTTTTATAATTTTCCTATATCCAACATTATTTATGGTTATACTTTTTAAGTGTTTCATTTTTTTTTTCTAATTATCAATTTTCCTTTAATATTTTGCCCCCGCTGAAAAAAATTCCTGGGTCCGCCACTGGGGTCATACATTGTAGTCGAATCACCCTTCTTATCCAAAACCCAACAATTTGCGATAATTACTAGGCGAACTACTTGAATGTTTGACTCTTGTAGAGATATACAGCAGGTTAAAAGACGAGTTAATTATCAAAATGATCCTCGACTATAACAAAACTATCAATTTGATCATTGACTTTTTTATCTAATTAAATCTTCAACTTTGAAAATCATAATTTAGTCATCCGTTCACTTAAAAATCTACTTAAATCAAGGTATTGCTAGAATTTCACAGCAAACAAATGAAAAATAGTCAAATACCAAATTGATAATTTAAACAATACCCCCAAATTAAATAGATATGGACTAAACAAACATTTTAAAGTTGCCTTAATTAGACTAGAAAAATAGTCAATGACCAAATTGATAATTTCGCTATAATCAAAAAACCACTATTGACCAATATTACCCTAGACATGTAGTAATACTAGGGTGTGTTTGGTTGGTGGGTTTTGCCCATAGAAATGGGTATGAAAGTGATTGTTGTTGTTTGGTTGATAGGTTTTTAGAACACTACTATGGGTTTCGAATACTCCATCAATTGAAAAATCCATACCCAAATACAATAAGGGTTTCATTCCCTTATTCATTCTCAAGCACTACTATTAGTAACCATTTCCATTCCACCTTACTACCAAACATGTTAAATATTTTCACCACAACCCATTACCATTACCAAGTATTTGATACCCATACCGATTCTGATTCCTATGTGCGAACCAAACACACCCCTAGTAATCTCTAAGGGGGCATTTGGTTCACAGAATGTTAGATTACCTTATGGAATGTTAGGTTGCGGGAAATGTTAGATTACTGGGAATGTTGATTCCTCTGTTTGGTAAAAACTAGGTTATATAATATAAACCTGTTTGGTTGATGAATTGTTGGGAATGTTATAGTGGTTATTTTACCTTAATGCCCTCATATTACAAATCATCTTGCAAACTGAAGGGCAAATTTTGTAAAATAGCAAGGGAATCTTATATTACCTAAGGAGAGGAAGGTTATCACATTCCCTCAAAATTATGAAAAAAGCTTATGTGGAGGGTAGATAACATTCCATGGGAAAGTTGGATAACTTCAACCAAACAAGGAAATCTTGTATAACTAGCCAAATATAACCTTGGTTATCCTAGATAACCCAAACCAAACGCCCCCTAAATCTACAAAACAAGACAATATCAACTCCAGCTAACCAGACTACAATGCAGTATTGTGATTTGGTAAAAAGGCAGACTATTCATCCCACCTTTTATCCAAGCAGGTATAATAGATGCAAAAACAACCACAAAGAAAAGCAACAGCTATGGGTGGGTCTCACATGGACAACCAGAATCAAAACTCCTGTGTTGGATAAAATAGTAATAACACAGTCACAGAATAATTAATCGGGCAACACTTTGTCCAAAACAAAACGAAATATACATCCCATCAAGTCAAACAACCAGCTTCCAACTCGGTTTAATCCTCTATCTTTTGTGTTTTCGTTTATTTTTAGTAATAATAAATTGTTCTCTTTCTCTTTTCTTTTCTCCTTTTTTCTTGTTTGGTTGTCCAGCTGGCGCATTGTGAGTCTGCGCCGTCCCTCAAAAAGAATCTGAGTGCCCTCATCAAGATTGAACTCGGCTATTCTTCTACTGCAAACAAAAACCACAACCACAAGTCTTAGTTCCTCCAACTTCCCGTTGGTATCGACTCCACTCTCTGATATTGCTGAGATGTATTACTTACCTCCGACGATGATCTGTTAAGATGTGCTTCAGCATTGCCACGTTCATGTTCATTAGCATTATTGTCATCCAAGGTGACACCCTGAAAATGCTGGCTAAGTACATCAGAACCAGGACTTCGGGCAGATTGAGGACTTGAAATCGAATATTGTACGGACGGTGGCACGATCCATTTTTTCCAGTCATTTCGTACCCTCAATTTTTCACCCTGCATAACGAAATGTATTCACTGATATAGATCACAACTTCATGCACAGCAACCTATATACATCTAATGTTATTCCTACAGATGATGTCGAGGTAAGTTCACGAAAAGTAGCAAGCGACATACGGTAACTATTCTGTTCCAAAAAGCACGGCTTCACATGTTGCATAGTAAATCAAATTAACCATTGCCAGATTCAGACACATTCCAGGTTACTTCAAGTGTAATATAGCTACTTATGCAATTACAAGAATAGCGTAGATGTTTAGTTAAATTGTCTAAAGGAAAGAGCAGTCATACCTGTACTTCTATCATGGTTGAAGTTCGCATAGCATGCAATATGAGTTGTATATCGTCCGTCAACACTGCAACCTATACATTGACAGAATCGAAACTAGTATTCGGCTATTCGCAGCATAAGATTAAAATATATCTCGAAAACATGCACCAATATACAAGAAAGAAAGATTTAAGATACACTCATCCCA